CTGTCAAGCACGCAGGCCCAAGGCTGTCACCCATGGCGAAGTGGGACTAACTGTTGGGAGGGAGCAGAAGCCTACAGGGGTCCGCTGGATGGCGTACCACGCCTGTTACCAATACTGTCGTGCTCGGATAACACACGATACATCCAAGCCTTGAATCCTCTTACTAGTTATGATGAGGTTTTGCTTTCTAGACCAGATAAGGGTTCTGGCATCGGCATTATGAACAAAATGGACTACCTTAATAAGATGAAAGGTATACTGGCAGATTCGATGAAGTTTTCCAAGACCGTCGAAGAAAAAGACATGGTAAAACAATCTGAGAGCCATATCTACAACTGCCTCAAGAAGCTAAAAAACGGGGGTTATATTACTAAAGATGTTTATGACTATGCGCGCCCTGTTGGTACAGTTATTCCCAGGCTCTACGGTCTACCCAAAACATAAGACAAATGTCCCGCTGAGAGCAGCGTTTGATATGAAGGATTCACCGTACCACTCTACAGCACGGTGGCTAGTGGAGAAACTTGAGCCCATCCGAAAGCGGATAGCAACACAGCCTGAAGAATAGTTTTCAATTCGTAGAGATTCAAACGCCTCGGGTCTGACCATGTGCTCTCTGGATGTTGTCTCTTTGTTCATAAATGTGCCCTTATTTGAAACAATAAATTACATCTGCGAATACGTCGATGGTTGTGGGATAAACATCGGCACACCCATCTTGGCTCTGAAGGAATTGTTGCTTAGATGCACATTTAATGTCCAATTTATATTTAACGGGTAGATATGGAGTGGAGTGGCGATGAGTTCCCCAGTTGGGCCAGTACTCGCTGTAATTTTTATGGGCACGCTTGAACAAGGGAGTTTGAAATCAACCATCTCCAATCTCAGCTTTTGCCACCGTTATGTTGATGATTTTTATTTGTGATATTTCATTCCCATCAGAATATTGAAGATATTACCGAAACTTTTAACCGAGCCCATAAAGCGATCCAATTTATTGCGGAGGTAGAAGAAAATGGCTGTTTTCACTTTCTTGACGTGGGCCTAAAGAAACTCGATAGCGGGAGGTTACAGCGGCACGTATGTAGAAAGGGCATGTGGAATGGCAAGTACACTAACTTCCACAGCTTCCTGCCACTGAAGTTAAAATGGAAGTAAATTCTTAATCTGGTCAGTCGAGCGGGAAGAAACTGCGCACATGATACACTTTCAGAGGAACTACAACGGATATGCGCGATTCTGTGGGAATATGGCTATCCAGATTGCGTCATAAGTCCGTATGGAGTAGAAAAACACGCCGTTAGTTGTAACGGCTAACAAAAAAGCAATTTTCCTGCAACTTCCGTACAAAGGGGAAATCGTGGCAGAAATTCTTATCCGTCGTCTATCGCAACAGTTTAGAGTACCTTCCGGGCGGCAAAGTTACAGGCATACTTCACCAGCACACCGATGTTGAAGCAGTCTCAAGGATGGTAGACCTGTTCACGACAACTCCATGTGTATCTACTCATTCACTTGTTCCCGTGGGGAAGGATAGCTTGGTCGTACGACTAGGTGTCTATCAGAGAGAGTGAAAGAGCACCATCCCGGATAGCTAACGGCTGGAATCAGAAAAGTATGCAATTCATCCATAGCTGCCCACCTCGCAGGCACAGGGCACAATTCAGCCGACGCACTCAGAAGTATCTACAACGTCCCTGATAAACGATAGAGGTATACGCGCGAACGGATACTAGAAACCGCAGAAGCCATCGGAATTAGGCTACACGAATCAAGTCTTTGCGTTCAGAGGCGATCATGAAGGTTTTACGGCTACGTTGGCCCGATCGACCTATCATCAATACTCAGATGGATCACATGCATGCCCAGATCAATAGTGATGGTTGACCTCTTATAAACCCTGGTTCTACCCCTTTTTAACGACCCTGACAGTCTGTCTGTTTGAGTTGATTGATACATAACTGCAATAGCCTGATGAAGAATTATCGAAAACTTATGTACGCTAACACTGCCTTTTGCCTATACCAAAATCCTCACTACTCATCAGTAAAATAAAAATCTGTCCGTGTAGCTTTCAAATCCTTGTGCCGTGTCGAGGCACTATGCAGAAAGTCCCAGCTCGTGAGGCTAGCCACTGTCCTCTGCACAGTTCGTAACTTGCATGACAGTGAAAGATGAGCCGGGCTATATCATAGTCAACTGTCAATCACGCATGTCCAAGGCTGTCACCCATGGCGAAGTGGCACAAGCTGCTGGCATCCAGAAGTCACGGGGGCGGAACCCGGTAGGGTGCACTGACGAGACCCAGAGGGTTGAAACGCAGGCGTCTGGTGCTTTTCCAGATTAGCCTAAGCCTTCTGATTGAAATTGACCATGATGAATTGCCTGAAATATTTTGAGATTGATGCAATGCCCTTGATCAGTGCTCATGTGGTTATAAACAAGCTGAGAGGTCATTTTTGCTCGACATGAAATCACGGAGGAAGTAGTATCAGACAACGAACCACAGTTTACTGCTGAGTTTCGAGCTTTTAGTGAGAATTTGATTAACGAATAACCAACCCTTACAACAGCCAGTCGAATGGAAAGGCCAAAAGCAGCGGTGAAGGATGCAAAGAGAATACTAACCAGAGCTGAACGAGGACTCGTATATCGTGCTATTGGAAAGAAGAAAAACCCCATCTCCGGAAAGCGAGGTGGGCTCTTTTCAACGTTTATTTAGCCACAGAATGAGAACTTCGTTGCCCGTCGCCAAAGTCCTGCTCCATCCGGAAGCACAATCTCCGGTGATGATACATGACCGTTTGGAAAAACGAATGTTTAGAGAGAAACAATATTATGATCGCGGCTCTAAAGTTACCGCCATTTCGGCGCTTGGAGCAGTAAAAGAGTGGAGGAGAGGAGTGGTGGAAACGCGGGTAGGAAAAACAAGTAATGTGATCAAGGTGGAAAACAGTTTGTATCGGCGAAACTGCATTCACGTGAGACGACATCTGCCGACAGTGGGGATAATCAAACTGTTTGAAGAGGACTGAGTCAGGGAACCATTAACAAAGCAATGAAGATCATTTTGTCCTATCCACGTTCACCACTGTTCCTCCTTCCGGAATAGTATTCTGTAAAGGATGCTTCGTAATTTTAGGCTGAGGAGGCGCACGGCAGCTGTGTGCTGGCAGGTGAAGAGCAGGCCGCGTTACCTCATAATTAGCCATCCGGAGTAGTTAGTTACAAGTATTCGATTTGACTCAGTCTCTGCCTAAAGATGAACTGCTGAATAGCTGCAAGTAGATGACAAGGCCATTTAATAGTGAGAAGAAACCCGATTTAAAGATAGAACCACGTAGCCGTCAGACAAAAAAGTGAAGAAGGGGAAGAATGTCACTCCACAGTGAGCTGACAATGACGGATTCAAGTTACCCACTAAAATGGATTTGTAAGTTCATAATAAGGCGTCGCTGATAAGATAGAGGCATTTCTTCAAGTACATATATTTCCATCAAGTCTAGACATAACGTGGATAAGTGGTCGTTACGATTCCATTGTTGAAAAAAACCCGCAGATTTAACACCACCAGTCCGTATGCGGTGTTAAAAACTAAAGTGCGACGTAGAGGGTTTCGGTGTGGCTCTCTCCTATCCCTGCACTCCACGACCGACGGTTTCGTCTTGATTTAGACTCATCAGGTAGAGATAGCTGAGCTAGGAGTGGAACCCGAGGCACAGTGCTTGGCGACTATCGCCATGATCACCAGGCCATTGAGTTCCGCGAGCAGTGTTTGACACAGCGGTTAGAAGTAGAGTTTCGGGTTTTTTGGAGCACCCGCCGTGTGTCTTGGATTGCGACACGCAATCTCATTAGTGGCGGCGGTTGACTTGGAAGTCAGCCTCTGCCAAAACGGTCACTGGGACCGTCACCGAAGTGGAGGGTTTTGGTGTGGCTCTCTCCTATCCCTGCACTCCACGACCGACGGTTTCGTCGTGATTTAGACTCATCTGGTAGAGATAGCTGAGCTAGGAGTGGAACCCGAGGCATAGTGCTTGGCGACTATCGCCATGATCACTAGGCCATTGAGTTCCGCGAGCAGTGTTGACTTCCAAATCAACCGCCGCCACTAATGAGATGGCGTGTCGCAATCCAAGACACACGGCGGGTGCCCCAAAAACCCGAAAGTGCGACGTACTTTAAAATGACGGCCCACGCCTAATGAAACGTGATATGAGAGGAACAAGACTGGGGCTAAGGGCCTGATGTAAAACATAAACATTCAGGATAAGGGTCACACCTCACCAATACACGGTAAACAATCTGGAAGGTAAAACCAACCGGTCTAGTGACCTGTGCCTTCATTTTGCGCTGCCGCGGCTATCCATCCAATCACACACCGGTGGACGGCATATGGACATTGCGCATTATTGAAATCCGCAGCGCTCCTGCATTTGTTCCATTGTCACTTAATCTACACCCAAGAATATCCATTGCTTACTCTTTCAAGAACAGTACTATCATTGTGATAATTGTTATTTTGACGATGCGAACCAAGAGTCCAATGTACCCCAGTGGAAATACGTAGTTGGTTAATGGAAATGTGCCCACAATAAAATGGTGTAGAAATACAAGAAATCGAACTTAGGAGAGGGGGCAGGGACAGAAAGAAAAGGAAATGTGTTTTGCCTTCGTTTCTCCTCGTGACGGATGATAATAAACATGAAATCATAGAAGAATGACGGGTTGCCGCGAAAATATCGCTATGCAAAACGCGACGATGATAATGTGTTGCAGCGTCGCCCACAGGAGCCGTGTACCCATAATATGCAAACAAGATACCATATAAATAAAAGTAGGTTTGGAACATAGCAATTCAAGTTCAAAGTAACAAGTAAAGTGAGAAGAATGGATTTGAGGACAAGGAATTTAATTTACGCGTATTCAAGTTGAGGGTAACGAAGAAGTCAGTGAATGTGCAGGATAGATAAGAGGGCTATCTCAGGCTCGGTGCTTACCTTCATGGACTGTGGATATATGCATCCGTAAGTAGGATAGAGTTGAAAAGGTCTTGAGGCATATTTCACACTGGGGAGTTTTGATACCTGAAACAAAATTTATAATGGAGATAAAAGTATAAGCATGGAAATAAAAAGGAAGGGATATGCAAGAATGCTCGCGGCATTTAAGCCAACCGCATGCGTACAGAGAGCAAGCGGTGCAATTGGTAAACAGAGACCAAGAGACCAGATAATGATTGGTATTTAGTAAAATTGGTTACAATGCGGATTGAAGTTGAAGTAAAAACCTTGCCATTGCGAAAGCTACATCTCAAGTTCCTGAAAGGTATCATTTCGTATTAGTGGGGAGAAACTGAAGACTGGATCAAAAGACAAACACTAACTAGTGAAAAATAAGGAACACAATATTCAAGCGAGCGATGATAAGCAGGCGCTTCAAAAATAAAGTCAGTTGCACGACAAAAAACCTTTGAGAGTTGTAACGATTGACAAAGATGGCCGACCAAAAAGCGTGCTCCAGGATTGAACGGCGGTCAGTTATCAAGTTTTTGGTTACTGAAGAGTGTAAACCAGTTGAAATTCATAGGAGAATGTCAACTGTGTATGGTGCCACATGTTTCAGCCGAAAAATGTCTACAAGTGGGCAAAATTGTTTAAAGTAGGTCGGCGCAGTGTTGAGGATGAAGACAGGCCTGGGAGGCATACAGAAGTGAGGTCTCCTGAGGTGATCGGATCAGTCAATGACCCCATTCAGTCGGACAGAAGGGTTACAGTGGATGACATGGACAATTTTGTGTGCCGCCCCCACAGATAAGCTCAAAGTCCTTGCAATGTCATCCACTGTCACCCTTCTGTCCGACTGAATGAGGTCACTGACTGATTCGATCACTTCAGGAGACCTCACTTCTGTATGCCTCCCAGGCCTGTCTTCATCCTCAACACTGCGCCGACCTACTTTAAACAATTTTGCCCACTTGTAGACATTTTTCGGCTGAAACATGTGGCACCATACACAGTTGACATTCTCCTATGAATTTCAACTGGTTTGCACTCTCCAGTAACCAAAAACTTGATAACTGACCGCTATTCAATCCTGGAGCACGCCTTTTGGTCGCTTTGTTAATCCCTACAACTCTTAAAGTTATTTTCAATCTGCAAAAAAATTACATCCATGTGAAAAAGAAGTAAAACAACAAAAATAAACAAAAAGTAAGATTCTACCTATTTTAGAAGTCCTTATATCGAAAAATTCACCATATTTATTGAATGACCCACGTAGTTTCTTTACTCATTGGACAGGAATACCAATGTCAACCTTCATTAAGATTAGGTACTCGCAAATGAACTTCACAGTTTCTATCAAGGGAACATTCGTAAAGAGTACCTCTACCTCGAAAGAGAGTATCAACTTGTCCTTCACATTCAGTTCTTTACTTGTTTAACAAAATCAAAATATCACTCACAGTGTGGACCGATAGTTCTTTACGTAGTGGTTCGAGTAAGTCAATTAGCTACTTGGCAACTACGTGTACAGCAGAGCCGGACATGTAGATGATCGGACGCATTGGTACGTTAGGCTTATACACTTTTGGTAGCCCGTAGAGGCGGGGTGGGTGTGAGCCACATGGAGTTAGACGCTCGAGCAAGCAGCTTTCGAAATAGTTATCGCGCTTAAGTTCTTTCAACAACTTGCTGAGTTTGGTTACATCATTTGATTTCCTATCTTTTTGTATCGAGTCAAGCATGAATTTCGTCATATCCTGCAAACTGGCATCCATCTTCAACATATGGTCTGGTTTATTCATCAATATCCAACCCGATCCTTTATCTGGCCGGGAGAACAAATCTTCGGGATTAGATATCAGTTCTTTTACGGCTTTCTGCTGCTCATTAGTGATCAGTTTGGAGAGTTGCAGCTTGTGATTCGAGTACTGATGAGAAAGGTGCACCAGAGTGCTCTTGAAAGATGCGTTCGAGAGAGAAGAAGTAGGTGTCAAATCACTTAGCTGTTGCATTAAACTTTCAAATTGCGTTAGTACATGAATCTGTCTACTGTTTGGCCACGACAAACAGAATTTCGGTCCCAGTGAGAGAGCTTCCAGTTGATGCTTGTTCAACTGTATGTTAGCAAGATTGTGAAAGTACCGTTCTGGAGGCTGTAGAAATTCCGATTCAGGTACGTTTGGTTTCATGCTTTTCAGCAGCATCGTGTACTTCCTCTTCTCAGCTTTGTTGCGCACATCGTACATGTAGCTTTCAAAAGAGGAGCGTTCAGCTGTTGATAATGCGTACAAAGTCATTCTAACTCGGGAACCCGTGATTGAATGGCTGCCAGAATGTTGCACTCATGCAGTTTCAGGGATTTTGCCGTCAGACAAACATGACATCATCTAAGTGATTTCCAATACGTTTTAGGATACTGGTTGCGTTGTATGCACACCTTTATGAATCGAATCTCTGTCTTCGCATTTGCAAGCTTAGCTTGATCAGAAACAGCAGAATGTTTGTGGATAAATGTCGTGAGATAATCGTTGTTTTGTAGGATTATGAGAACGTAAATCTCAGCATCGCATGCTTCTGGACTGCAGATTTTTCAGCGCGGTACTAAAGACAGTGCACATGGTTTCTCTTGCATTTCATGGGCACAAAACTAAGGAAATGCATGTACTGGCCCCCACGTAGACATGCGGAATAATCTCTTCTCAAGCAATCCGTCAGCTCGTCGCTGATCGATCAGTCGATTGGCTCATTGACCTTTCCGTGGAACTGTGACCTAACCCTTCCCTACTGCAGCTTCAGATTGCTTATAATGTTGTATCAAGTTTTCTCATAACTATAAACGCCTGAGGAGTATTATCGAAAAGAGATCTCTTCGTAACAACTCCTCTTCTTCTAATGTATGAATGGCCATAATACACGAGGCCCTCGAACCTTAACAAATTGTTGAAGTTTAACGTTAAGCTTGCAAATGCGAAGACAGAGATTCGATTCATAAAGGAGTGCATACAACGCAATCAGTATCCTAAAACGTATTGGAAATCACTTAGATGATGTCATGTTTGTCTGACGGCAAAATCCCTGAAACTGCATGAGCGTAACATTCTGGCAGCCATTCAATCACGGGTTCCCGAGTTAGAATGACTTTGTACGCATTATCAACAGCTGAACGCTCCTCTTTTGAAAGCTACATGTACGATGTGCGCAACAAAGCTGAGAAGAGGAAGTACACGATGCTGCTGAAAAGCATGAAACCAAACGTACCTGAATCGGAATTTCTACAGCCTCCAGAACGGTACTTTCACAATCTTGCTAACATACAGTTGAACAAGCATCAACTGGAAGCTCTCTCACTGGGACCGAAATTCTGTTTGTCGTGGCCAAACAGTAGACAGATTCATGTACTAACGCAATTTGAAAGTTTAATGCAACAACTAAGTGATTTGACACCTACTTCTTCTCTCTCGAACGCATCTTTCAAGAGCACTCTGGTGCACCTTTCTCATCAGTGCTTGAATCAAAAGCCGCAAATCTCCAAACTGATCACTAATGAGCAGCAGAAAGCCGTAAAAGAACTGATATCTAATCCCGAAGATTTGTTCTCCCGGCCAGATAAAGGATCGGGTTGGATATTGATGAATAAACCAGACCATATGTTGAAGATGGATGCCAGTTTGCAGGATATGACGAAATTCATGCTTGACTCGATACAAAAAGATAGGAAATCAAATGATGTAACCAAACTCAGCAAGTTGTTGAAAGAACTTAAGCGCGATAACTATTTCGAAAGCTGCTTGCTCGAGCGTCTAACTCCATGTGGCTCACACCCACCCCGCCTCTACGGGCTACCAAAAGTGTATAAGCCTAACGTACCAATACGGCCGATCATCTACATGTCCGGCTCTGCTGTACACGTAGTTGTCAAGTGGCTAATTGACTTACTCGAACCACTACGTAAAGCACTATCGGTCCACACTGTGAGTGATATTTTGATTTTGTTAAACAAGTAAAGAACTGAATGTGAAGGACAAGTTGATACTCTCTTTCGACGTAGAGGTACTCTTTACGAATGTTCCCTTGATAGAAACCGTTAACTTCATTTGGGATTATAAAATAATAATAATAATAATAATGTCAGCTACACGCAGTGACGGCGCCTCTGTGCCGCGCGACCACTACCAGTCGCGCGCGAACTGGGTATACCGCGAGGACGCCCACTCCTACACGGATTCGAACCGTTGACCTTATGGTTGCAAGCCATGTACGCAGACCACTCAGTCACCGGTCGACTGCCTAAGCGAAAACAATATTGACGTCGGTATTCCGATCCAATGAGTAAAGGAACTACTGCTGCGTTGCCCCCTTAGGAAGCAATCCCTGTTCGATGGAAAAGACTACCGACAAATAGACGGTGCTGCAATGGGCTCCTCTTTAGCGTCACGTCTTGCCGATTTTTTCCTCGGAAAAATGGGGGATAATCGAATCCTAGTGTAAGCATATGAGAAACCAAAAAACTAGGTGATTTAAACAGAAAAGAACATCTTGGAAACGTGTGTGGTGCCCAAAAGACCAAAATGCATGAGAAGGGATACCATGTAACCCCAACTTTTCGGTTGTATCCAGGCGTACAATATGATTAACCCTCTGATAATACGATAGTGGCTAATAAAGGAAGGATACAGGCAAAATGAAAAGGGACTCACGAATCGAACTACCGCCTGAGAACGAAGGTGATTCGCCAAGATTCTAAAATAATGAAAAGGATGTAAAGCGAAGAGGACAAGAGTGCGATAACGGTTCAGCTGAGTCTCTTACATAACAATGCTACTTACCCGGAGGTTGGAAATTTCTTCAGAGGAAGAGGAGCTGTAGTTGGTCGAAAAGTCGAAGGCATCGGCCACATCTGAAGAGAAAGTATAAAGTTTATGAAGCATAGAGTGAACGTGAACCGTTGATGACAGCAAACAAATGCACAAAAAGTATGAACTGGTCTAAATGAGATAAACAGCAGCATTGATCGCTGAGCGATGATTGTAAATAAAAAGGTGCTTGGAGATATCGAGATGTTCACTGGTTTGTAAACGTGGCTACAGTCAGGAAGAAATGGTAAGGCATCATGTATCATAAGTGAACAGGGTAGCAGGAAAGTTAATCGAAATAACATAACGATGTGACAGTTCTTGATAGATTGATTAAATTTAGTAGAAAAACTATTATGCGTGCCCCAATGTGTGATTGATCCAAGTGGAGGGAAGCAATTCGCCAGAATAATGATGTGATTCAAGAGGTATGTTAATCACAAGAGACAATAAATAATAGTAAAACGAATAGTAGAACGAATAAGAGCACTACTGACGGCGTGACTGCGCAATATCTACTGATGCGGTTGATATTGGGAACCCCATTTGTAAAGGCCGTAAACAACAACTGACTGACCGTCACAGCTTCACAAAGTAGTTGCACTACTGTAGAACGATTTCAGCCCAGTTAGCAGTGAGTTTGGTCTATGTGCCACGAAACAGGGCAGCCTACGCACAACCTACCGAAATTCCACAGGTATCGGCTTTTCCGTCAGTCATTAGTCACTCTGCTTTTCGAGCGGTCCCTTTGGATCCACCTTCGTGAATAAGTCGAACCTAAGAACGGATGAACATTCACCAGCCCTCAACGTAAAAGCTCCAATAGATGAATTATAAGAATTACCAACGAAACTGTGGGAGGAGGAGTATCCCAATAAACTAGAGTCAATCTGGTACAGACCAAATGTTTAAAGGTGGCTGAAATTCGGGATCAGCATGACAAGAGGACCAATCTGACCTCCTCACTTCATAACTCGAATAGCGCCGAAAAATTCAGTTTCGCGAATACCAAGAAAGGTTTCGTCAAATACGAAGTCGTATTAAGCACACACCTTAAGTCAGTTGTTGAAGCTCCACGGCGCTCGTTGGTGAACAATATCAGACATGTTCATCAACATCAAAGGCGCCTTCGACTCGGCAGGTCGATGTGCCGTTTTGGACTATGTGATTGTGAAACGTGTATCCGAGAAACAAGAAAGCAAGACAACAGCACTTTGAGCGTGCAGTTCATGCAGAGTGAAACCTTATTACAAATCATCACTGCCATTCAATAATTCCGTCAGTGTGAGACAAGAGAACCCGTTAGGACCTTTCCATTTCAACTATGCCACTTACGAAGTAATAGAGGCTGCGTTGAAGAACGATGCAAGTACTCCATACACCAACCGCATGGCAATCCGCCTAGTGGCTGTTACCTCCTAATCATTAGCATCTATTCCACCTGTAAGCTAGCGCTGATTCGAAAAGTGCACTCTTGTGAAAAACGGGCTAGTTTCCGACCCGATCGAGGGTGTGTAAACCACGTGTTTACGTCCCGTCAACCCCTCGAGCAGTATCAGCCGTACCGTCATCCAAACACTGTGGATCTGTATTTGACTCGGTCGATCGACGAGGTACGTGGTGTTGGCTGTGAAAGTGTGGGCTGAGTATAAGGGAGACGAATTTTATAAACATAATAGATTCCCAACTATTCTATAGTAATGTAATCCGCGTACCCTGATGGTTATCCAACAGGCGCTCTGACTGGGAAGCAGAACAGCCCAATAAACATCATCATCATCATCATCATCATCATCATCATCATCATCATCATCCTCTCCTCATCATCATCATCATCATCATCGTCATCATCATCATCATCATCATCATCATCATCATCATCATCATCATCATCATCATCACCACCATCATCATCATCATCAATCATCATCATCATCATCATTCATCATCATCATCATCATCATCATCATCATCAACATCATCATCATCATCATCATCATCATCATCATCATCATCATCATCATCATCATCATCATCATCATCATCATCATCATCATCATCATCATCATCATCATCTCATCATACATCATCATCATCATCATCATCATCATCATCATCATCATCATCATCATCATCATCATCATCATCATCATCATCATCATCATCATCATCATCATCATCATCATCATCATCATCATCATCATCATCATCATCATCATCATCATCATCATCATCATCATCATCATCATCATCATCATCATCATCATCATCATCATCATCATCATCATCATCATCATCATCATCATCATCATCATCATCATCATCATCATCATCATCATCATCATCATCATCATCATCATCATCATCATCATCATCATCATCATCATCATCATCATCATCATCATCATCAATCATCTCACCATCATCATCATCATCATCATCATCCTCATCATCCTCATCATCATCATCATCTCATCATCATCATCATCCTCATCATCATCATCATCATCATCATCATCATCATCATCATCATCATCATCATCATCATCATCATCATCATCATCATCATCATCATCATCATCATCATCATCCTCATCATCCTCATCATTATCATCATCATCATCATCATCATACACGTTAGCTGCAGGTGGAAAACACCTCAGCTATTGTGCCGCAATACAAAAGACAAGAAAAAAACAACAGAGGCACGCCGGCTGAGTCCCCAGTAACGGATGGACATCGTTCCGGAGAGCTAACAGCCGGCTATCGTGCCGCAAAAAGAGAGTTATATTATGCCTAACGAATGAGATCGTGATTGGAGGGGAGGCTAAGCGGAAAGGGGATGGACAAAGGAACGCACAACACAAACGCCATTGGGGCCGACTCCTAGCTATATCATCAAGTGTGTCCAACTGAACGTGTTCATCGTCCTTAGGACCCCAGCCAGGCAATCGGGAGGAACCAACCGAGGAAAATTTCGGAGTGGGGGTTTTCATTTCTCTCGACCAAGTCATCGCTTGGTCGCCCCCTCTTCCTCTTCCAACCCCGCACGCTCAGGGGGCAAACAATGTACGTCGTGGGAGTCGGTGCGCTGGCATCCACAAAACTTGGCCCAGCCATCGGAGCCCGGTGCGCGATATAATGGAGCTGAACGATTCACTCGCTCTTCCTGCACCAAATACACGACGCCGAACATGCTCATTGCTCACCCAATACCCCCACCAGACATGAGCTAGGCTGCGAAGGCAGCGATGATCGAACGTGACCAGCCTTTTTATATCTGTCGACCTGATGGGCCAGGTTTCACAGCCATATAAGACGGTTGAACGGACGGCTGCATTATACACACTACTCTTCAGGGAGAGAGTGATGTCGCGTCTGCGCCACAGGTGGCGGAGATTGACAAAAGCACCTCGAGCTTTTGCTATACAGTTCGTAATCTCAGCTTCGATCCCACGGGCGCTAATATAGCTGCCCAAGTACTTGAATTCCTGAACGACTTCTAGCTGATCACCACCAAAGGTCAGCGCAGGGGTGGGTCCCTGCCAGTCTTGGAGAAGAAGTTTGCATTTCGATAGAGCAAAGCATAGCCCAAAAGGATTGACAGCCAGTGCTAATCAGTCCAGTGCAGCCTGGCACGTTTGGGCGCTGTCACATATGAGGGCAATGTCGTCCGCATACTCCAAGTCAAGAAGTCGCTCACCAGGAAGTAGCATCACACCTTTTACGTCGTGTTCAGCGAACGCTGTTTCCATGACTTCATCAATAGCGAAGTTAAAGAGGAAAGGGGACAGCGGGCATCCTTGGCTCACACCATTGGAGATATTAAAGGGCGGCGTCAGTTTGACATAAACCCTCACTCTGCCCGAACTATGAGCGTACAGCGCTTTGATAATATTTACATATTTATCGGGCACACTTATTCTCAGCAGACAGTCCCAAAGGGCACGTCGGTCCACCGAATCGAAGGCACCTTTGATGTCGAGAACCACGACAACGGTGGGTCGCCAATAAACGGCGAGGTTCCAACAGCTGACGTTATGTGAAGATGTGATCAAGGCAGCCTCGATTTCGAGCAAACCCGGCTTGCTCTTCGCTGATCTGGTCTTCACGAGCGCCAGTCAGTCTATGGAGAATGACAGAGGCAAGAAATGTAGGCAACTGAGATCAGACTGACGCCTCTATGATTACCGCATTTCGAACGGGTGGCTCCCTTGAAAAGTGGAACTATTACAGAGCGCCTCCAGTCTGTCGGGACAGTCTCCTGCTCCCATAGATTCACTGGTAAGTTACGTAAATTGTCCAAAAGAGCAATTCTCCTAAATTGGAAGAGGGCCGGATGAAGTTCAGCTGCTTCAGCGGCATTATTTAATTTCAGCCGTCTGATCTCACGTTTGATTTCTGCGCGTGAGGGCGGATTCAGGGTGACAAGCCAGGGAGCAGAGCACTCAATGGCCGATGGAGAAGCTGGCAATTTCGACTGATTGAACTACTTCTCAAAGTGTTCGGCCCAACGCTCTAAGCGCTTTGACAAGATGTGGATCGGTTGTCCACTCTCGTCGCATATGGTTTCGTCAACAACAGGTTTTCCGCTGCCCATTTCTCGGACCAAACGGAATAACTTTCGATGGTTATCAACGGCAGCGGCCGTGTTCATCTCCGCGGCACGGTGAGACCACCAGGAGTCGCGGGCTCTCTTTAGGCCAGCATATAATTTCGCCCTGAGAGCGTTGCGAGTCGCCCTGTATTCGTTTCCAGCCGGAACACGTCGACGGGCATCCAGAAAGTTCCAGAGACTGTGCAGAGACCCAATGTCCAGCTTGGTAATTTGATTTCCCACATGAAGATATGCCTGCTGCTAATAACGTCTGGCAGATATGCGACCATCGATCTTCAACTGCGTTCAATAAGCGTTTACGCAGCTCAGATGCCAGCGTACTTTGTTACATATTCAGAACATATGGCTTCGACAGATGGCAAATATCCATGCATTCACAGCGCAGTTGCGGAAGTCCACGGAAACGCACACCCAGGTCGACAGTGG